GCTTGTGTGAAACTCCAGGGAATATCAGCCTACTTACTCTGGTTCTGTGAGGGGAGTTGTCTCATTTGGCTCATTTACTGGACTCCCATCTTCATGATTGGTAATTCTTTCATCCTCTGTTCTCATTTCCACTATTGGCTCTTTTGATCCATCTTTCCTAAAAATTATTAAAAGAGTCTTAGTCTCTTATCATCACATCAACCACATACATTGCACATAACGAATTACCGAGATCCCTGCTCTCAGAAGTTGGCATAAGAAAGGCAGAACTAATTATCAGTGACTAACACCACCAAGACACACTTAACAGTGTGTTCCCAATTCCTTGAAGTCTTCAAAGCATCCTGTATCCATGGTTACTTACCTAACTCTGCAAACATGATGAATTAGCATCTCAAAAGAGCATTTTGTTTATGACTAATAATAAGGTAACAGCCTCTTCGTGGGAATACATGTAAACTTCCCTAACATAGTATAATAAATATAGGATTTGAAGCCTAGTTATACTTGAACTTTTCTGGCAGTGTTAAAGAGTCATTATGTTTGTATACACACTGCAGAAGTGTTCTTTAATCTCCAGAGATTGTGACAACCCCAGCTGCCAGAGTGGTTTAAAGAGCCCTTGTGTGGTAAAAATCTAACCCCTTCTGTTTTCACTGGTAGAAAAAACTGTTTCTGTGTCGTATTTCCCCCAATTTAGGAACAAATGCTAGTCTCTCACATATAAGTAAATGAATAATCATTGTGCTAATTAGACAATGAATTGTAAAGAAGATGGAGCAGTGAGTATTGTGATTGTGTTTTGCTGGTAATCACAGAATTATAGAATAGTTTGGGTCGGAAGGGTCCTTTAAAGGTTATCTAGTCCAAACCCGCTGCAATGAGCAGGGACATCTTCAACCAAATCAGATTCCTCAGAGCCCTGTCCAACCTGACCTTGAATTCTTCCTGCGATGGGACATTCACCACCTTTCAGGGCAACCTGTTCCAGTGTTTCACCATCTTCATTGTAAAAAAGTTCTTCCTCATATCCATTCTAAATCTTCTCTCTTTCACTTTAAAACCATTACACTTGTCCTATCCCTACATGGCATTCTAAAACGTCTGTCCCCAGCCTTTTTGTAAGCCCCCTTCAAGTACTGAAAGGACAACAAAGGTCTTCCCAGAGCATTCTCTTCTCTAGGCTGATCAGCCCCAATAATCTCAGCCTTTCCTCATAGTAGAGGTGCTCCATCCCTCTGATCATCTTGGTGGCCTCCTCTGGACTCGCTCCAACAGGTCCATGTCCTTCCTGTGCTGGGACCCCAGAGCTGGAGGCAGCACTGCAGGTGGGGTCTCACCAGAGCAGAGCAGAGGGGCAGAATCCCCTCCCTCCCCTGCTGCCCACACTGCTTTGGATGCAGCCCAGGACACGGGGGGTTTCTGGGCCATTGAGAGCATATTGTTGGCTCACGTTCAGCTTTTCATGAGCCAGAATCCCCAAGTCCTTCTCTGCACGGTTGCTCTCAATAATGTGACCATGACATGGAAATAACTGCTCACTGCTGCGGAATTATTAACAATATTTGCTAATTAACAAGAATTACTAAAAGTATTAAGTAACTGACATATAATTTTACTCTCAAAAAGCAGATCAAAGTATACCCAATATATATTTATTTTCAAAAAGAAAACCTCCTTCTATGCAAATATTTCATCTCTATTCCTGTTATCGGATCAGGAATTGTATTCTGGAACGTCATCAACTGCAGTCTGGAAACAGAGGGTAACTGAGTTACAGATGAACTATCACTTTTATATTTAACAGACCATTTTCTGGACCCTTGATTATCCTAGAGAGCAGTCAGTCTGCTATGGGCCACAGCAAAGACCTGGCTAAATGCTTCTCTAATTCATATCTCACATTTCCGTATATCTCACAATTTCTGACAAGATAACTGTTAAACAGGTTTTTGCAACAGGAAGTATCAGGAAAACTCTACTGTCCTCATTAGGTATCCTTAAGGAAAATCTTCATAGGTTAATAGGAGTTAGCATAGATACAGAAATTGACTGGAGGAGAATAATGGGTAGAAGTCTTAAAGATTGCGTCTATTAAAAAAGCCCAAACAAACCAACCCCAAAAGCCCCCATCCTCTATGTGATTATTCGCCTCTGCAAGTGACATTTAAGATACACAAATGGATACAAAGTTCATTTTGGAAGATGATGCACTCATGGCTATTTCATATCTGTGAAAAGATTATGGATTTAAGTTGGACTGGTGGAGGGACTGATAAGTTCTGCTTGGTTTTTCGGTGTATTTACAGTCTTACAAACATTACTGCATGATAAAAACCCTAAAAAATATGTTATTCATGAGCAGTGTTCAAATACATGTGCAGAATGCGTAAACTCTGTAACATTTCAGAATTCCCCAGAAGAGAAAGTGATTTGTAGGAAATGCATTATGTAATTTTTGTTCTAGGTGGCTGTATGTTACATGAATTGTATCACCTACATTTATTGCATATGGAACATAATTAATTACTATTATATATATATCCTACAGTCAAAGTGTAACCAAGAACCCTAACACAAACCCGCTCAAAAATCCAGAATGCAAACTGACATATTTTAAACAGGGAAATGTCAGTGTATTTTAGGGATAGCAGCTAGCATGAAATAAATTCAAATTTTGATTCTTCAAGTCTGTCCTGAAATTTTAGCCTGACAGTTTATTAGTGCAGAGAACAGGCTAAAATAAGAACCATCACAAGTATTTTAAGACCTGACTGACTGAAGACCACTCCAGCAGTGAAAAGAAATACAGTTAAATAACATAGTTGTTCTTTTAAAATACGTGCCATGGAAGAATTAATATTAAGAGACCAGCTTTATGCTTTCCTGGGACGGCACGGAATGGCATTTGGGTACGATGTTGATAACAAGGTATAAACTGCTGTCAAGTGACATTTGCAGCTTTATTTCCCTAAGGTCTTTCCATTCAGGAGGGTCTGTACACCAATTTGTACTTGGTCACTCCTCGAATGGGAATTTAAAGCATAAACTGAAATGCTGTGCTCAATGGGAAAGGACAGCTGAGCCAGAGCCAGAAGCTTCACATCTTGATTCTATTGATCCAGACAGGCCAGCTTCACACAATAGAAAAAATATCCTTAGTCTTTCTCTCGCTGTAAGATGGGGAGAGCTAGGAAACAGTTATTTTATAGCATGACTTCTATTCAGAAGCCTTATTTGATGGGAGTAGTCTCTGCGTGCTTACAACTGTTTTTGCTCTATGGAGCTGTTTCCAAAAGGGAACCTCTTTCAAGAAGAACCCAACCAAGATGTGCAGTCAAGTTACCTAAGCAAGATACAGTCTGAAACCCTGGAGCCAGAATTAAAACCAAAAAAGGCTTTCATACCTCCACTACTGGCAATGGAAGAGCCTGTTACAGCTGTGGATAATGAAGGCTGCAAAATCTACTCTGCTCTTACAGGCACCTGGGGAAGAATGCGATCTAGGAAGCTGCAGGACAATAAACTGCTATGCCTGACTACTGGGAGAGGCACAGAGGAACTGGACCAGCAAATATTATTCAACCACACAGTGTTCTCACATATATTACAGTGTATGCATAAATTGTCTACCAGATAAACTTAATCAGGAAATTAGGCATTTTTTATTAAAAAATTGGAACTGCTTAAAATAGAGGACCATAAGTAATTCTCTCTCCAGGTTACATATTGAAAACCCTGTAAAGGCTTGATCTCTGGTTATTTTATGCAGTTAGTACTTGAACTGTTTTGCCAGAGATCTCAGTATCCACTCTTAATTAAGTGTGGATATTTGCACATAAATGATCAGTTCATTCACCTTTGTCTGATGGAGTAGCCACTACAGAAGGGTATTTGTGACAATCAGGATTGTTTATTTCCCACTCATGTTAGGAATCATTGACTATTGTTATAAAGAACAATCACACTCACCACCATTTCACCCACATCTAACTCAGCATTCCTACTTCAAAAAAATCAACAATACCTTTCATTCTTAAAGTCTATGGGCAAGAAAAAAGATTTTTCCATCAAGTGCTATATCTGAGGAGAAAAATTCTTTCATGGATTTTTTTTATAACAGATTTACTGGCACTGTCACAACCATATGCTGAGGTTTTGGGTATTAGCAGCTCAAAGATGGATTTGCAGAAATGGAGTTACAATGATCTGTTACCCGTTCCTCACGAACCAAATGTGTGTCTGTAACTAGTACTGAATTACAATTGATTTCCTTTGTGTGAAGCTGGACAAAGAGGTCATCCTAAAGTGAGGTACGGTAAATTCCTTGTCTGTGTCTCAATTTTTCTTTTAAGGGCAATAAACAATTCTGCACATTTCAGAGCAACCCTTTTCCAAGTAATAGAAACATTTTATTAATTCCCTTTGCCACACCACAAAAGGGCCATAAAGTCAATATAAACTGGACAGCCAACTTTCGCTTTTAATGATGTTTCTACCATATGTGATAAATACTCACAAGTAAGCAGCCTTTCCTTCTTCCAGTTCTTTACTTTTTCCACTTGAACCACTCTTTTTCCCACAGATCCTCCTGGTGATGCACATTAGCAATCCACATTGTCGTACAAAGAAGCAGCTGACATCAGTCACAACCAGGATTAATAAAAGTGCTGCCACTCCCAGGCCAATGACAGCACCAAGTCCAAGACCATTAAAAAGAGTGTCTTGAAGGAAAGAAAATTAACACTTATTAATAAAATAATCCTAAACCAGCATTTTCTAAAGGTTTAAAGCTGTTGATCAGGAGACTAAAGGGTGTTTAGAAATTAACCATTCAGAAATTAATGGGAATAAACAGCCCTGAAGATTGTATACTACCTGATTAAAATCACATAAAAACCCATTTCTTCTATATAATACTTCCGCACTGCCAAAATTCCAATAAGGTCAAAGAGCATTAATGGCATTATTAAATAACAAATAGTATCTCATCTTACCATTCCAAGACTGAGAGTATCAGTAAGCAGCCTAAAAAAACTTTTAAATGCTCAGCATAATAATGCTTGATACAAGTTGTCATTTTCTACCTTTCAAATATAATTATGATTCTCTGATTCTAATTACTGAAAGATTTAAGAGAGTGCCAAAAGAGTATTTATTCTTGTAAAGGTCATTTTTTGAATTAGAGTAAAAAAGTATTCAATCAAGTTAATTCAAGCTATTTAATCTACAAACAGTTGCACACAGTTAGTCTTAAATAAATTAGTATGAGGAAAATATGCATATCATTAAATCATTATAGGGTTAGGACCTCATTTGGTTTAGTCTTGTACCTTGAAAATGCAATCATTCACTTCAAAATTAACATTATTCCGCACTTGATCTTGCTTTCTGTGTTTGTTTTATGAGAGTTGATGCTTAGTTAATTTTACCTCATTACAAAACTCAGAAAAAAATATTTATTTTTTTAAATTTGATTGATATTTCTGTAACAGACACCAATACTATAAACTCTTTTGAACAGTGTGATTCTCAGGAGAACAACCACCACTGTGTCTATAAACTCAGATGACCCTTATACAGGACAGAATTTGTATCTGATCAATAAACTAGGGGAGAAACAACCAGCTCAGCAGTGGTTCGTGCACCAGGTAATTCAAGAGGTTGTCACCTAGCTTGGAAATTGGCCAGTGACAACTGCCTTGTGTGATACTCTGTCCTGGAGCAAACTCCAGTGGAACTGGGTTTTTTGCTTCTCAATAAATAAATCTACATTCTTAGTCTAGTCTTTATGTAGGACTCTAAAATGGAAAAGTAAAAACTGTTTTCAAAAGAAGGGGAGCTTTTTACTTCTTACGCAATTGATTTCATTGTCTATTATATGGGTTGTTATTATAGAAGTGTTCTTCGGAATGTTATTGTGCAATAAGCCAGAATTCATTGTATATATTTACATGGATGGATAGACAGAAAAACAGACAGATATTACTTCAAAGTTATTTTGCTTTCTTCAGAAAGACTTAAAAAACACTACATAAATTACAAAAATAATGAAATGAAGTAACATTTAGGCATTGCTCCATCAGCAGTGTTGGAAGTTTGACATTTCACATGAATTCTTTTTCTTTCCTTTTTTTAACCTCAGTATTCCTAAGTAAATATTAAAATTTCTGCTACATCTTCCAGAACTTACTTTATCCATGCATCCACCCACCTATTCGATGACTTGTTTTGTAACCTTCAGTCGTTTTTATTTACGGGTCTGAATTGTCAGGAAGGTGTAAGTAGATATTCAATTCCAATTTACTGAAAAGCTCACGTTTCAACTGACAAAATACCACTAAATTCTGTAGAGATCAGTTTTAGAGACCCTATACTGTGAAGTTTTCATCTCTGTACATTCTTGACCACTAAAGAGAATGTGGGGGAGAAAAAGTAGGGTCTTTTAATCCATATTTTAAAAGGGATTAATTCTTGAGTTTTTTCTGGTTCATTTTTAGAATTTTTCTTTATTTTTAATGCACTGTTAAGAGTTCTTTACTATGGGCAGATACATTTTTCACTGCCGTGACCAGCATTTCCAGTGTTACTGGAACATCATGAAGTGGCAAGCTCCCCATCCCAAATGACTCAGTGGCAGAAAAGCCTACACAGTATTTTCACTGTGAAGTGAAGGAAATGTTTACAGTAGCAATATTGCTCCTTTGTATAATACTTTCCGTAGTTGAGGGGGAGACTCTGTTTTTCATTTTTGATCTTCTTGGTATATGTGACACCTAAGTATTTGACTGTTACATATTTTTTTTAATCTCTTCATTATAGGTATTTCCCTTTACATACAGCATTCCCCATTCTTACCACTGCCCTACCTCTCTCAAGTACTATTTTTACTACTTGAAACCCATTTGTTCATATAGATTTCTGCTTCATAAGTCTGATTTCTGAGTAACAGGAATGTGGCCACATCCTGTGCTGGGGTGAGGAGCATGGCTGTCATCACCCTTCTCACCTGTCCGAGGATCCTCATTTACTTTCTTCTTCTGGATTGTCTTGTGTTTTAAAGTATCTCTGTTATGGTTTATTTTTTATCTTAATGAAAACATATGAAATTAATGTTTTAAAAGTTCATTGGTGGCTTAATTTTGTTGTTTCTTAAGACTTTGTACTTTTCTATCTGCTCCCACAAAAGTTACTTGTAAAACTAATGCCAATTACTATTAAAGCAGGTTTAGGCCTCTCCCAACTGCTTTCAAAAATCATATTCTAATGTATCTATGGTTTCAAAAAAATGTCAGTTTTTTTCTTATAACTTTATGTTGTAATGATACAATGTTATGACATTGACAGCAGTTCTAATTCTATGACTGGAAGTCATATTAATGTCAGTCTACATATAGCCTTTCTACCAAGTCTGAAAAGGACCTTTGTTATCAAAAAGTTTTGCCTTAAATTAAATTTGGATTAACTTTACTGCAACAATTCCTAAACAATGCAAACCAAAAGTTATATTAAAAAAATTATTTTACACGTTTGGTGGTTTTTAGTGTTCCCGTACATACTAAATGGACTCAAAATACTAGTTCTACTTTGTGCTCTACAATAACAAAGTATTTATGCATTATGCACTTTTTTTTTGTAGTTGAAAACAAACTTATTTTAAATCATAAAAATTCGATGTTAATGTAAGAGAAGTGGTTCTTAGCAGTTTTTTGAAAAGAAGTATTGTATACCTGACTTAATAGTCTAACCACAGGGAGCCTTTTAAAACACTGCCTGGAAGAAAAAAGTGTAAGTTCCAGAGTTCTGAATGAATTTTAATTACAGTTTGTCAAAAATATGCTAAATTTAAAATGACATGCTTTTTGTTACAGGGAATGTGACATAAGTAGTATAATCCACCTTGCCATGACAATGAAGGAAACTGACAACCTTAAAGTCACTTCATTCATCCACTTCTTTGAAAAAGTGCTTATCAATGAACACTTATGGAAATAAGATTAAAAAATTTTCAGAAATGTAATAAAAAAAATGTAATAAAAAAAAAACCCTGAAGCAAGTTTATATAAATGACATGGAAAGTATTGGAAATGTTCAGGTTTTCACTTGTTGAATATTTCTAACAATGTCTAATAAAATAATTGAACATTTTTGCAGAAATCATTATTTGATGGGAAAGAGCAATGGAGAAAGATAAATTTTCTGGCCCTTCAAATCCAAATTCAGACTGAATTCCTTTAAGGAGTTTCTATCAGACACTCTAAAGGGAAGCAGGTCTAAAGAGAGAGTCACCATCTGTACATGCATACAGAATCACAGAATGGTGTTGGAAGGGACCTGAAAGATTATCCTTTTCCAAACCCTTGCCACAGTCAGGAACACCTTCCACTAGGCCAGGCTGCTCAGAGCTCCATCTAACCTGTCCTTGAACACTGCCCCAGGGATGGGGCATCCATAACTTCTCTGGGAAACCTGTTCCAGTGCACAGGTATACATAGAAAACTTCCTACACGGAAAGCTAAAGCAATTGCTTCTGCACAAAGTGACAGGAACTAAACAGGCAACGCTGGGATGTTCAGGTTGTTCTTTCATGAATGTATGTCCTTTGAGGTGACAGAATTTCTCTGTACTCTCACAGAATCACATTTTATATATTCAGTTGCTGGTTCAATAAAATAATAATTGCAAGCATTATAATAACTAGTCTGCTTGAGCAGGGAGGTTGGACAAGATGAACTCCAGAGGTCCCTTTCAGATATTCAGTGATTTTAAGTTTTGTTGAGGGGGAAAAAGCTAGTTAGCACCTTCTTGTGCCTTTCTTCCCTTCCCCTCCTCCTTAGCAGACGTGGATTAAAGTTAAGATGAAAAATAGATGATTCTACGCATCCCTTACCCTTTTACAGTCATTTAATTTTTTAAGGAAAAATGACAATGATATAAAACACTTTCCTAGCTCATAGGGAGGCACCTGGCTGCTACATATGTATGAGTGCAGGGATATCATGCATGTTGTCCTGTCAGGTCAGTCAGAAGGCAAAGTAAGAAGTGCTCTCAAGCTGAAGTAGTTAAAAATTATGAACTAGAGGAGGAATTTGAACATACTGCACTGGGTCATGGCAGGAAGAAAAAACATACTCTTGCTTGTCATCTTCTTGAACTGCACTATTGTACTGACTAAAAGTGCCCAACCATGAGTTATTTATGCGCTGCCTGTGAATATTGTCTTGGATTTTATATCTGACCTGGAACTTAGACTGAAAGGCTTACAAGATGCATATACTGATTCAAAACCTCTAACAAGACAGAAAACATAGATCTTAAAATTTTGTATCCATTGATAAGCATCCAAAGAATCATAATGCAGTACCAAAAAATTAAAGAGCTGTTTTCTACCAGTTAATAGTATAGCAGTGGAAGGCTAAGACCATTGCTAGAACAAGCTCTGCCAAGCTAAAGTTCTAGAGACAGGGAAAAAAAAACCAAACCAAATGGATTCACATCTGGAAAACAAGCCTATCATGAGAACAATAACAATGGCAAAACCAAAAGACTTTATCAGAAATATTACAGAATTCCAGATAAGTAACATAAATCTGTAGCACAGATCCATCCCAGATATAAAAATATATACAATATGTATACAACACTATGAGGTATCAGAGGCAGAGAATTGCAAATATTCAAATGATGGCTTTTTGTTATATCTGATGCCTATATTTCACTGCCT